CCAAATAAAAGGTGTAATAGAAAGCAGACAATCCACAGCAATATCATCCATTTGCTATATTATAAGCACATTAGTTAATGATAATTTGCATGCTATATTTAAAAAGTTCTACCCAGCGATGACTACCGAGCCACTGCAGGAAGCACCCTGGGCTCTCCTGAGCTGGGATGGTGGGGGGCCTTGGGTCTCAGCTGTGTCCCCTGACACCCATAACCAGCCCGGTGACGACCACTGAGCCACTGCAGGAAGTGCCTCAGGCTCTCCCAAGCCGGGGCAGTGGGGGGCCTTGGCTATGCCCCCTCCGACACCCACAACCAGCCCAATGATGACCACTGAGCGGCAGCAAGAAGGGCTCCAGGTTCCCGAGCTAGGGTAATGGGGGGTGAGGGAATCTGCCACACCCCCGTGACATCTGCACCCAGCCTGACAATGATCAAGCCACTGCTGGAAGCTCCCTGGTTTCCCCTGTGGGAATGAGGAGGGTGCCATAGGCCTCAATCCCGTCCCCCCACCTTCCTCCTTCTTCCATCCCATTTCCTCCCATTTTCCCCTCTCACTCTCCCTCCCAACAGCTCTGCAACAATATCATAGAATGTAAAAAAATATTAATTAAAAATAAATAAATAAAATGTTTAAATTCACTTTTATTAAAGAGGGCATATAAGAAAACACATTTATATTAGTTATAAGAAAACCTTTCTGTTATGTGTCTTCCTATGTCTTAACTGTGTTTTAAAAGATAAGGTCTAAAGTGTCAAGGTCATCTTCCTTTCTTTTTTATTGAGCTACAGAAGTGATATCAAACCCTGTGTGTAAACGGCCGTGGAGACCAGTGAACATGCAGTGACAAGGGATTAGTTAGGAAGAAGGCAAGGCTGTCTCCTCTTTGGAAAGGGAAGATCGCTGCCCCCTGCTGCAGCTCCCAAAAGTCCACCCTACTCCCCTCAGGGGAGAAAGGGCCGTCACAGGGTAATCACCAGACGCAGACTTTTTTTCCTCCTCTTTTTGTTTCTGTGACAGGAATGGCAAGCACAACCAAGATGGCAGAGGAGGAAAAGCCGAACACCTGGCTGACAGCAATTCTCAAAGCAGCTGGGTGTCTCCACTGTAAGACTTTGAAAGGCTGTTAAGAGTTCTGTCAGCTGGGGAGGCGGGGAAAAAGGCAAAAAACAAGTTGCTGAAACATTGCCCTGGAAAGGTTTTTGACACTAAGAAAAAGATTCAAAGAGAAGAGAAATAAGGGCCTACTGAAGTGGTGGGGGGTGGGGGAATCCTGATAACAGTGAATTAAGATAACTATGCTTTTAAAATTTTGCTGTAATTGTTATCTTGACAGCGATGGCTATTAAGGGCCTACTATCTAGCTATTTTAATAAGATGCTCTATAAATTTTTTTGAAAAAGAAAAATACAGAAATGTACAAAGTATAGGAATGACAAACACCCATATACCCACTACCCAATAAACTAGAATTTAACACTGTCATGTTTGCTTTTGGTTACTGCAATCTTTAAAAACACAATTGACTTGAACAGTGTATTTTTCAGGTAGCCATATCCTCAAAAAGTCTAGCTGTTTGAAATACAAGCTCAGAACAAAGGGATGACTACTGACTCACTTCATGACAACCTTACCCTAATCATATGCCATGTCTATGTCTAGATTAAAAGCTCTCAGGGGACAGGCTCATTTTTGGTCTTATTCACTGCTGAATCCCAGCATACAGCATGCTGTATAGCACCTAGTAGGTCCTAGAATGAATGAATGGATGAACACAGGGAGAAATAGGCAGAATGAACTTTCAGGTCCATGTTTCTCACAGTGATTACCAAGATGCGGCCTCAGGCAAGCCATAACCTCTCTGGGCTTACTTCCATGTCTGTAACAATACAAAGATTTGACTTGCTAAGCTAGGAGGTCCCATCCAGCTCTAAAACACTGTATCCAATGGAATAAGGCAAATGACAAAAGTCTGACACCACCACCCCACCACACTGATATCCTAGACAGAATACTTTTTGCACATTATTTGTAAATAATTGGTTCTGGATGTTTATATTTTCTCCTTTGGTAAAACCTCAATTAACAGTAGCAATTTCCTTTCAAGTTCTGAATAGACTAGAATCTTCTTTACCAGACCATGTGAGTTTATGGTGAAAAGGACTTAGACCCCAATTCGACACTTAGGTAAGGTATTAACTTGCACTCCCCAGTTGTTCCTTATATTCCTGACTTTCAGAAGATTAAAATTTCCTTTCCATGGCAACTGCATTTTCCACTTCTTTTGATTGTTTCACCTTAATTGTTAAAGTTAACTTGAGAAAGAATGTGCAAACGAAAAAAGGGTTAATAAAAATGTCTTCCTTAAGATCCCCTGATGGACACTGAAGGACACTGAAAGTAGTTGGCAAAAGCTTGAAGAGAAACAGGATAATTCCATAATCTCAAAGTATCTCCCCAAGATATGTATCAATAACATAAGGAAAAATAGTAATTTGCTGGCAAACGCTGCCTTAACCAAGTGACCAAGGCTCCCATCACCAGTAGTGGGACATATTGATATCATGCACCTCCTGATGTGATGCTCCGAGCAAGGGACAACATCACTTCTGTGGTATTTTTGCCAAACAAAAAGTAACACCTTATTCTAATCATGAGAAAACACCAGAAACCCAAACAGGGACATTCTACAAAATAACTGGCCAGTGCTCTTGAAGTATCAAGGTCATACAAGACAAGGTAAGACTGAGAAGCTGTCACAGATTAGCGGACACTAGAGGGACATGATAACTAAACACAATGGAGAATCCTGGCACACAAAAATGACATTAGAGAAAAAACATCAAATTTAAATAAGGTCTATAGTTTAATCAATACTATTGTGCCAATGTTAATTTTCTGATTTTGATAATTATACTATGGCTGTATAAGATGTTAACATTAGGGGAAATTGGGTGAACAGTATATGAAAACTGAACATATAGAAGACTATATACAGGACCTCTCAGATGAATGAGAAAAATAAAAATAACTCAATAGAAAAAAAATGGCAAAGACATGAATAGGCATTTCCCAGAACAGAAAACACGTATAGCCAATAAACATAATAAGGGATATTTCAATTAAACCATAATGAGACACGATCAAAGTTTTTTAAGTGTGATAACACTAAATATTGGCATGGATGAGGAACAACAGGAACAACTTCTTTCCAACAGCTGGTATAACCACTTTGGAAAAGAATTTGGCTATTTGAAGACATATATGCCCTATGAACCAGCAATTCAATTCCAAGGTATAAATCCTGGAGAAACCCTTAAATGCATGCATCTGAAGACAAAAACTAAAAATCACAGCAGTTTGTTTGTAATAGTAAAATATGGAAAATAATTCAAAAGTACACCGATGAGAGAAGGGGTGAATCTCAGTGTAATCACACAATGGAATATCAGACACCAGTGAAAAAAAAAGAACCACAGCTACTCGCATCACATGAATACATTTCAACATGCTGAGTGAAAAAGTTAAGTCACAGAAGAATACATACAATAAGAAGCCATTTATATGAAGTTTAAAAACCAGTAAAACTCAAGCCTATATTGTTTACAAATAAATATATATTATAACAAAACCATGAAGAAAGTCAAGGGACTAATGACTCACAACCTGGGATTCTAGGTACTGAGGGATGCAAAAGTCAGTAGTATTTCTGGATACTCTGGGTGTGCATTAATATCAGCTGCGCATATCTATTCTGGTTATAGGAGAAATTATATCCTTTTCTTTGTATACAGTTAATGTTAGGAAAAAATCAAGAGCAAACAGGCAAAACACCCCAAATTTTTTGGTTATAGACTAATATCCTAAATGAGTCTAAATGACTAAAATGACTAGCCTTGTTAAAACCTTCAGACCTTGGCTCCACCATTCTGCCACGTGAGACCACTGTCACCACCACCAAGACCCTCACCAGATGTGTTCCCTGGACTTTGGACTTCTCAGCCTCCTAAAGTGCCTGCCAGCCCAGGACCCGAGAGAAACTGAGAGGACCCGAAGGTCGGCAGTGGACAGAGAGGTGCCCTAGAGGGGACCAGAGGGCCACAGAGGCACCTTGAAGAGACAGTAAAGTTAAGAGACCTCAATTTTGCACCTGCTGAGCAGAGAGGCCTGGAGGAGTGAGAAGCAGAGTTGAGCCTTCTACAATCTCCACCTTTCAAAGAACTGAAAGACCCCTAGGTCACTGTCAACACCATCAGAGGGACTTTGGACTTCCCAGCCTCAGAAACTATATCAAGACTTCAGAAGGAAGTTTGATTTCAGGTGTCGCCGCCGCTGGGGATGGAGCCCAGGGAGGAAGAACAAGAAACACAAGAAGAGGAACATTTGATGGAAGAAAAGAAAAACCTTCAGACCTTAAGGGCTGGTCAGTTAGCTCAGTTGGTTAGAGCACAGTGTTTAACACCAAGGTCAAGGAACTGGATCCCTATACTGACCAGCTGCTAAAAAAAACAAACAAAAAAGCAAAAACAAAAAAACCCTGAAACTTTCAGACCTTAAAATGAAAGGAACAAATCTAACGGGAATGACTTGGCAGGGGTCAAATTAGCTTCCAAGGCACTGATCTAAAAACATTCATGATTTGCCCATCTTCATACATCACAAGCTGGAAAGTTGTTTTAAGGGGGCATTAACTTCCCATTGTGAATAAGACCCTTCTCAAAAAATTTGAGTTCCTTGAGTTGCACCCATCTTTAATATTTTAAGAATCCTTCTTATTTCAAGAACAAACACATTTATCTAGCCTGAGTGAATCTTGCTCCCTCTTGACCATTTAGATAGTTTAACTTGCCTCTTTCATGTGTTTCTGTTGTTAAATATTGGGACTTAAGGCAATTTATAGCTTGCCTGTACTTTCATGCAGTTTTTAAGGAAATTCAACCAAAGGTCAAAAACAGTCACGTAAAACACAATCATGTAGCCCAGAAAAAGGGCTCACTCACCAGCTGAAACTCGCTCCTCCGGCTGAAAGCTTCCCTGATGCCAGAATCCCTCCAGATTGCGCTCAGAGCGGGGACATACAGCTGAAATGTAGCAGGCTCCACAGGCAGCCCTGCTTTGTTTTCAAAGGCCATCAAGAACATCCCATGCTTTTCATTTTCGGAATACTGCCAAGGAATACCAAGCTTGTCTCGTGCATCGACAAGAACCCTGGAGCCCTAGGGAAAAAAAGAAATAAAAGAGGATTTAATTGTGCTCCAAAGACTAAATACTAAATCATAATAGGGAACCTCAATATGGACACCAACTGTCATAAAACAGAAAACTCACAAGCTATCAAATTTGCAACCAGAATCTGTCTATTCTGTCATGGCATCAATGTCTTAATTACTAGGAACATAACCTTACCTAGACAGGTGTGTACATATGTATCACACCAATAGGTTTGCCTTTTGCTATCACTCATTTAAAAAGCTACTGGAAAGGAGACAACTGAATGAGGGGAAGAAGTGGCAGCAAATTCAGCAAATTTCACCAGAAAATAAAAGGCATCAGTAAAACAGACAATGTTTTAAAAACAATAATTACTACTGTTAGTACTACTGCTATCATTATCACTGAAATCTGGCAGCTCCTCAACACAAGGAGGATACAATTGCTTGTTCCAACTTAAAATGGGTGGGGAAACATACAAATACAGGCAGTCAAGAGTCATGAGACAGGAAAAGACTAAAATACGACACAAGCGGAATGGCCTGCCCACTGACGCAGGAGCCAGGGGATCATGTTCTAGATTTAACACCAGATTAAATCTAGATTGTGATAATGAGAAGCTATTTTTCATTCTTTTGCTTATTTTCTCACTGTTAAAAATAAAGTTAGTATTTTCTGCCTTTTTCTTACCTCACAAACAGGGTCAAGGGGATGGAGAAACAGCCTAAACTAAAATAGTATTAGGGAAAGCATCCAGCCTGTGGAAAATACTCTGTGTCTCAGTGAAAACTGCCTCACTGTGCAGTAAGTAGGTCTATTTCATCATTCTTAGATTACACTTCAAAATGAGCAAGACAGTAACTACAAAAGTTTCTGAGTTCCTCTGAGGGGAGGCACTCAATGCTTTCTTGTGTGATCAATGCTGGGGTGAGTGCAGAGGAGCAGAGGGCCCCAAGAAGGCAGTAAAGTGCATGTCCTTCCATCTGGAAGAGCCTTCCCACATCAGAGCAGACTGAGAGCAACACCCTGCCCTCCAGTACAGAGAACACCAGGGCCATCACTGCCCACTTGGTATTTACCTTTTCCCCATTTAAAGTGTACAACTCAATGGTTTTTAGTTGGCACTTATCCAAAAAAGTTTCACTTCTGACACCTGGAGCAGAGTAGATGAATTCATTCTGCCTTCTTCATATCTCTACTGCGGCATCAGTTTGGTGCCTATAACTTCTGCGTCTGCCTTGAACCACTGAGTTGAATGTAATGATAATCAAAAGGAGTAGCTACAATCTCTCATCCAGACCTAGCTGCCCAGGACTGTCTGGTTAGGGATATCGCTATGAGCTCCCTCCTCAGGGCCTCCCTCATCTATCTGCCCTCACTGACCATGTCCAGTTCTATCAAACCACAAACATTTGTTCAATGCTTACTCAGGGAAAGGCACCAAGTCAGGCACTGTGGGGAAAACAAACTGTTTGAGAAGCAGTTTCTGATCTCTAGAAACTCAGAATCTGACTAGAGAGACAAACATATGGATAAAAAAAAAAGTAGCACTGATTCATGACATAACTCTAAGAACTTCTCTTTGTCTTCCTGACAAAGAACACTGACAAAAAACATACAGTTAACATCATAAATAATGGTGAAAGACTGAATGCTTTCCCTCTAAGACTAGGAACAAGACAAGGATGTCCACTTTTACCACTGCTACTCAACATGGTACTGAAAGTGTTTGCCCTTGTGATGAGGCAAGGAAAAGAAACAATCAGACAGAAAAGAATAAAACTAAACCTATTAGCAGATGAAATGATAGTCTACGTAGAAAGTCCCAAGGAAGCTACCAAAAAACTAGAATAAATAAATGAATTCAGCAAAGTCATAGTATATAAAATCACACATGTCAATTGTCTTACTATATGCTAGCAATGAACATGCAGAAACTGAAATTAAAAATGCAACACTATTAACAATCACTGAAAAGATGAAATAAGCATAAATCTAAAAATGAAGTAAGTATAAATTTCTAAAAAATGAAATAAGTATAAAATATGTATAGGACTTATATGCCGAAAATTACAAAATGTTGATGAAGGAAACCAAAGAAGGCTTGTGATCCCGTCGCCGGTCCCCGGTCCGGTGCGGGGGCAACACTGAGGGTTGCGATCCGTTGCTGGACACGGAAAAAAGACAAAAAAATAAAAATAAAAAAAATAAAAAATAAAAAATAAAAAAATAAAAAAAAAATAAAAATGAAGTAAGTATAAATTTCTAAAAAATGAAATAAGTATAAAATATGTATAGGACTTATATGCCGAAAATTACAAAATGTTGATGAAGGAAACCAAAGAAGATCTAATAAATGAAGAGATATACCATGTTCATGGATTGGAAAATTCAAGATAGTAATAATATCAATTCTCCCTAAATGGATAAACAGGTTTAACACAATTTCTATAAAATCCCAGCAAGATCTCTTATGAATGTAGATATAATTATTATAAACTGTATATGGAAAAGCACTAGCTAAAGAAAATTTGAAAAAGAAAAATTAAGTGGAAGGAATACTCCATATAGACTTACACATAGCTACAGCAATCAAGACTGTATGGTATTGGCACATACAGCCAACTGGTTTTTATAAAGATGCAAAAGCAATTACATAGAGGAAAAATAGCCTTTTCAGCAAATGGTGGTGGGGTAATTATACATCCATAGGCAAAGAAATTAAAAAAAAAAAAGAAGAAGAACCTTGGCCTAAACCTCACAGCTTATATAAAATTAACTCAGAATGTAAAACTGTAACACAAGAGAATATTTTCAGGACCTAAGACTTGGTGAAAGTTCTTAGACATGAACTCAAGTGCATAATTCATTAAAAAAAAAAAAGAAAAAAGAAAAATCAATACACTGAACTTTTTCAAAACTAAAACCTTTTTCTCTGCAAAAGACTCTATAAGAGGCTGAAAAGACAAGTTATGAACTGGGAAAAAAATATTTGCCAACCACAACCTGACAAAGAACTCATATTTAGAATATATAAAGAACACTTGAAACTCAACAGTTAACAAAGCAAACAATCCAGTTAGAAAATAGGAAAAAGATATGAAGAGATATTTCCCTGAATAACACATACGGATAGCAAATAGGTGAAAAAATGTTCAAGATCACTAGACATTAGGGAAAAGCAGACCAAGACCTCAATGAGATATCACTACACACCTACTAAAACAGCTAAAATAAAAACAGTGACAACATCAAGTGGTGATGAGGATGCAAAGAAACTGGATTTCTCATACACTGCTGGTAGGAAAGTAAAATGATATACCCACTCTAGAAAATATTGGCAGTTTCTTTAAAAACTAAACATACACTTATCATACAACCTAGTAATCTCACTCCCAAGCATGGGTATATCCCAGAAAAATGAAAACCAATGTCTACAGAAAAACCTGTACGGGAATGTTCATAGCAGTTTTATTCATAATAGCTAAAAACTGGAAACAAACTGTGGTACATCCATACCATGGAATATTCCTGAGCAATAAAAAGGAATCAACTATTTACATGCAAAGACCTGGATGGATCTCAAAGACTTATGCAAAAAGAAAAAAGTCAAGCTCAAAAGGTCATGTACTATGTGATTCCTTTGATATAACATTCTCAAAGTGGCAAAATTATAGAGATGGACAAACAGATTAGTGGTTGCCAGGGATTAGTGAAGGGGAGGAAAAGGGTGTGTGTGTGACTAGAAAGGGGCAGCATGAAGAGATCTTTGTGGCCTTGATTGTGCTGGAGTTACACAAAACTACACAGGTAATAAGAGGGCGTAGAACCATACACACGTTGTACCGGTGTCAATTTCCTGGCTTTGATATTGTACTGTAATTATGTAAGTCATAACTATTGGGGAAAACTGGGTGATACCTCTCTGTACTAACTTTGCCACTTCCTGTGAACCTATAATTATTTCAAAATAAAAAGTTTTTCAAAAGTTAACTAGCAATCATGGCAATATATGTTCCAACTATGTGGTGTGGAAAGGGAAGGTTATTAAAGGCCAAAGGAAAAGAAATTAGTAGAAGGTGAGGCTTGGAAAAATCCTAACTGGAGATGGGTCTCAAACAGATTTCTGAAGTGTGGGTTAATTTAAACAAGCAGCAACAGTAGATTAGAATCTATTCATAGGGAAAATGTGATTTAGATAAATCCTCCACTTTCCTTCCACTCTGTTCTCCACCTCTGATTCCTGCCATCTCCCTGCTTTTTTTGACTACACTACACCAAACTCCTGGCTTCCCAAAAGAACAAATCCAAAAAGGTTCAAAAATCCATGGAAACAAAGATTATTACTATTTTCAACATTATGCACAACAAAAATATCTCCGTATGTGGAAGGTAGCTTAGACTTTTGTGGTGAGGTCCCTGGCAAAGGGTCTCAGCCTCTTCGTACAAATCAGAAGAAGGCTCCCCACTGTCCAGGCAGATGTAGTCCCAAGCCTGCAAAAGGATCCTGACAGGATTTCATCCTCAACCTGCCCTCCTAGTCAAGTGACCAACCCATGTTCCATTCCTGATGGCCCTCCTTAAACAACTCGGATGTAGCAAATCGGGTCTGAGCCACAAGATATCTTTTCAGGTACTATTTTTATACATTAAAAAGTTTGGCTTCACAAAGAGGGAGACCTCACTTATGAGTGAAATCAAATCTATCATCCCTGGGAGTTTAATTTTTATATATCAGAGAGTAAGGCATGGGACCAAAATGAACTTAGAAGCCTGAATTCAGGTCATTTACGAAGACTGTTTTCAACACTGCACAAACCAGACCATCCCCAATTATTGAGGTCAACATAGGTTTAACTCACACACACACACACACACACACACACACACACACACACACACACACACACACACAAAACTGGCCAATCCAACAGCAGTCTGTATTTCCACTGCACAATGCCACCCGAGCAAGCTGGAACTACACCCAATCACGAAGAAAAGACTC